AAAAAAAGAATAAAAAAATCATGGCGACAAAACTTTGACCTACACAAATGCAACTCGTTCCGTGAAACACGCACAACTGCATCCACGAGTTTCCTACTTTTGTTTGAAGAAGCCACACATAGCACTCTGGCCAAAGCACATCCGGTAATAGTCAGCCGCACACACCTATATGACACATCTTGTGGAGAAATCCCTGGGCAACGGAGTGAGTATTGTTCCAAGAATGGACAATGACAAGCTCAGTCCACCAACTCATGTTTCTGCGAACTTCTCCAAGTTCGTGGCGAACAATTGATGTACTCGCAGTTGAGGCGACTGCTACAGCGGGTAACGAAGCGAAATGATTTACGCACGCGGATGAGGAACTTGGGTTTGAGGACACTATCAGGCAGTGGAATGAGGTTTCTGAACTCTAACATATTGGCAAACTTATAATGGCTTGCCCAAGGGCATGCAGATTCCATCCCGTTCCAATTAGCATCGATCCATCCGTCAACATGTCGGTTCATGTATGAGACGACGGTCATCCATGGGTCCTCTTCGAAGTCCTTTCTGGTTGCTTCGTGGAGTCACGTGTGACCGTTATAATATCGCACTGATTTCGCACAAGGAGAAAACGGTTTTGCTAAACGAGTGTGTTCCTTGGGATTCCCACTGACGCTTGTCGACGTTGTCGACGACATTATGCACCCTACACATCAGACACACATGAACGAAACAATCGGACGTTCAATGTGTCACCTTCGTCGCCTGTCAAAATATATTTCACAATTGTTAATTTCATGCATTAAGTCTGACAAATATCCCTACATACTTTCGTGTACATGTATTGTACAATAACCACGCCAAGCATCTCCGCCCGATGTATCCGTCATGCTCTAACCGTCATTTATTCCCCCAGTCAAACGACTGTTTCTCCATTTCCAACTCCCACAGATTATACATGCCTATCTATATCAAACCCTCTAATCATCTCTAACAATGCGCGGAACACGTTTGCCTTCATAACTATACAAGACGTGCAGGGGTGAGCCGAATGTAAGCGTTTTCAAACCCTCGGCTTGTCATCGTGCTCCTATCGAATGACGATACATATGGCATATTCCTGAAACAGTGCGTACCAGCGAGAGCGATGCCGATAGCATGCCTTACGGTGCATATTTTATTTTCTACTTCCTTCACCGACTCTTTCACATTAAATATTGAATTGTCGCATTCCTCCTCACTCCACATTGCTTCGCATCTTGCCTCTATTAGCCTCTCACCCTTGCCCGTGCATGCTACACAATTGACTCTACATAAATCGACATCGTTTAATAAAATCATCACAGAGCAATAAGATATGCGCTGAGCGGTTGTCCCTGCTTCGTTCCGCACGGGATAAGTTGCGATTCTGTTGCACAATCTTCCAAACCTTCGCAGCTCGTTTCTGAGCCGCATCGGCCATGTGCGAGGTGATGTTCTTACGAGCTTGCATAAGATTGCTCC